ATTATAATAGAGCTAGAAAATTGGCGCAAGTCGAGGAAATCTATAAAAACTTGAAAATCTTAAAAAAGAATGGTTCAGACAATATGTTATAAGATCGTTATTATTCGGATTTGAAAATATTTTTTGTTTTGTATCCATTCATCTCGAGATCGAAATGATTAGTTAGAGGATTTTCCAACTCTAGAGTTGCCGGAGAATGCTGAAATGGTGTATACAAATAATTGACTTCACAAATACTAAGGTAACAACATGTAGAAGTAATCATCATATATCTAGGCACGAAAACTTCATTATTACAAGACAATATTTACAATTTATTGATTAAAATAATTGTATATCTAAGTTCTCGTAGCAAATTTATCTTTGAGATACGAGAAAGTAAAAATCGTTAGCTATGTTGCATGTACAAATGCAGAAGCACAACACAATCTAGAGCTTATAAGAAAAAAGAGCGCCAAGAAATAGAATGCAAATTTCGAGTCCCATATATAGAGAATGAGTCCTCACATTGTGTTATATATATGTAAAAGCTAGCCTGAGCGACATCACGTATGGTGAGAAAATACGCCAATGGTCATGATGTTTGTGATACGTGTAGGATCTCTTCTCACGCTAACTCTAAAACGAAATTCAAATCATAAAAAAAAGCCGATACCCTGACAAGGCAGTGCTTCTCTCTCCACCCGTGAACCCTCTCTCCCTCTTTATTTATCTCTCTCTACGCCTCTCTCTCTGCTCCTGTCAGTTGTGGGTCTCTCTCTCTGCTCTCTTTCTACCCACGAATCCCCCCCCTCTCTGTCTCTGCATATCTCATGTCATAGCAGTAAGTCTTTCTCTCTCTTAAGATGTCTCCATTGAGATGGGGAAGTGGAGAGTCTGTACTATGCTTGGTTGCTGCAAAATGGGTCCTTGATACCCACCTCAATAACATGGTTTTTCTTAATGGGCATAAAGAACATGGCTTTTCCTCCATTAAATCTGAGAAAAGAGCTATTTCCCTGTCTTGATAATACCAGCTTCAAAAAGTTGTAGGGACTTTTGATTTAGGGAAAGGGAGAGAGAAAGAGAGTAGTGGTTCAGGCTTCTTTGCTAGAACAGCCAGTTTGGTGAGCCGATTGAATGTACGTTTTCTATGCTCTATTGAACGCGGGATTTGCTGGACCTTAGTCTAATCCATTGATCTCAGGGCAGAGAGAGAGGGAGGGAGAGAGGCGTAGGGCAGAGGGTTAGAGAGAGAAAGAGAGCGAGGGGTTTTAGAAAGCCCATTTCTGAGGTCGAAGAGAGAGAGCGAGAAGCGCTCTTGGCTGGTCCGGGAACGGGGCTGAAATGTTGAACCAGGGGAAGGAATGTAGAAAGAGGAGAGAGGGGTGCATAGGAGGAATATGGACTGCAGTTTTGTTTTGTGAGAGAAAAGTCCCGATGTATTATAGTATGACAGAAAGTACAAACTTATGGGCTGTCAGACCACATCTATCTGTTTTTTTTAATTCGTTTTTGAACAATGGGCTACAGGGATCACAACCTGCCCAAATGCACGGTAGAAAACCCCACTCTTTTCGCGTATTTTCTCTCTCTATGGGACCTGCCCAAATGCAAGGTAGAAAACCCCACTCCTTTCGCGTATTTTCTCTCTACAAGGGAGGTCGCGTATTTCACACTCATGTGTGCAGGATTTTAAAATATCATCATTAAATTTGATACAAATTTTTAAAAATATTTAAATTTAATATAGAATTCTACTTAAAAAAAATTATACGTAATAGTTGTAGGATTTGTTAA